GTGTGTGTGTGTGTGTGTGTGTGTGTGTGTGTGTGTGTGTGTGTGGACTAGATACCAGTAGATTTCTTTGAAGATGTTTGCAGCAGATGGAAAGATTCAACCTTCTGCTCCTATGTGCAGAAGGAAACCAAGGAACCGTGAGGAGCCTGAGCCAAAGTTTTTTTTTCTGTTGAATCATTCCCCTCTGTGCAAGTGTTTGTGTCATGTAAAAGCCAGGGAGACCATCAAGATAGATGATAACGTTTCTCCCGCAAGCTCAGCTGGAGATGACTCAGAGGGTCTGTCAATACTTATATAACAGAGTAAGCTGCCAGATCCTCCTTCTCCCATGAGTGTCCCCTGTCTCTGCTCATGGGTGCTGAGTGGGACAGTGATAATCAGGGAGCAATCCTCAAGACTTCCCAGGCCTGCTTAGGGCTCTGCTCTTTCTTCCTAGAAAAGCGGCTCTGCCACTGACTGGCTCAAGTGCCATGTCACTCCAGAATGTGTTCTTTGACGGAATACAGGGAAGGAAGTCACAGGGAGGTTGTTGAAGCCTGGCTGTCAGGTCACATTCACTGGAGCCCTACTGACAGGGTAACCACTCCAGGGGTGAACAGCCCTGTTCTCCCTGCTCATTTCCTGAGTGACTCTACACCCAGGATTTCCTTACGTGGATATCCTCTCTGGGGTTCTCAGAATCCACACAAATACTGGCTGTAAAGCGTTGAGACTGGCTACTGCCGTGTGAAGGCATTCAACAGCCTATTTAAAAAAAAAAACAAAACCACAATGATGAAAGTACAAAAGTTGTGACGTTACCCTGGACCTTATAGTCTTCTGAAAGAAAAACCAGGAACTAACTAAAGTGTTTTCTGCATGTGCTCAGTTGGATTTAGGACAAAATTAGGAGTTCTGACCCACCTACCGTTTATAGCCCTCCTCGGAGCTGTTAGGTAAGATAAGCTAAGATAAAAGATGAGGGCGGTGCCTGATGCAGAGGTAGACTTGAGTCACAGATTTTAAGGTCACGATGATACAAAGGCAATATGCAGCATAAGAAAACACACTTCAAAATCGGAATTCATTTCCAGGCTAGTAAGACAGAACAACTATTCTGGTTTATTTGTTTGTTTGGTTGGTTTGGTTTTTCTAGACAGAGGGCTTCTCTGTGTAGCCCTGGCTGTCCTGAAACTAGCTCTATAGACCAGGCTAGCCTTGAACTCAGAGATCTGACTGCCTCTGCCTCCCAAGTGCTAGAATTAAAGAACCATTTTGTTTTTAATTTTGCTATAATATTCAATAAGTTATATTGAAGACATTATTATAAAAAGTTCTATGCTATACTGTTGGGTAATGTAAGTGTTCTGGGTACATTTAAAGTAAGCTAAGGTAAACCATAATGTTCGGTATATTAGGTGTAGTAAATGCACTTTTCTCAATGGTATTTCCAACTTACAATGAGTTTATTGTGCTGTAACTTCCATTGGGAGTAATAGAGAAACTCTACAATGCAGTCACTTTAAAAATGCATTTCTGAGCAGGGTGTGGTGGCCCACGCCTGTAATCCCAGCACTTCGGAGGCAGAGGCAGGCGGATCTCTGTGTAGACCAGGCCAAGTGAGTCCAGGACAGGCAAGGATACACAGAGAAACCCGACTCAAAAAACCAAAAACAAAACAAAAAAATATGAATTTCTGGATTATCAGTGAAAAGCTGGGCATGGTGATGAGATGAGAGGCAGAGACAGAAGAATCCTGGAAACCTCCCCACCAGCTCAACCAAGGTGGAAATTGAAGACCAATACCGGGGTTATCCTCGGATACGTGCTATGGCATGCACACACCTGCGCTCACACACATGAATATATATATTCTCTCACACACACTTGCACACATGGAGAGCTTTTTAAAAAGTCCATTTGCAAGGGCATGTAAGCATCCTCACCCTTCCCTCCTTTGAGGTTACCCTTGGTAACATGGAGAAGACTAGGGGATATCAGCTGCAAGAGGAAGGTAACGAGATGTGTCTCAAAGAGGGATGGGAGCAGGGGACTTCAGGAAGAATACTGACATGCTGACCCTGAGACACCCAAACCTCAAGACACAAGTTCAAGGAGGACAGACAAAAGCTATTCTGAGCACACATCCTCAGGTACCAGGTCTAACTGTCTTCCTGAACAGGCAGTAAGAAGGTCAATAGCAGTAGATTTATAGTGGGGGGAAACATGAGGAAACTGTGTGTTTACAGAGCGGGGAGAGATGGGAAGGCATTTCAGTCAGCTGGTCTTGGCTGGGTAAGTGTGCCCGAGGTTAGACAGCTAGCTAGAATGTACACTATTCCCTTAGTCAGCTTCTGTCTCTCTTTTTACACTGTCGCCGTTGATAGTAGCCCAGAGCATGAATAAGGATGCACAGAGTGTCATTTAAAGTTGCCTTGCATTTCTGCACTTTAGGTCAAGATGGGGTTTATATTCTCAAAATCCATGAATGAAAACATGAAAAACCAACAGGAGTTCATGGTTACCCACGCCCGACTCCAGGTACGTGCTGGTGACGATGTTATTATGTTCCTGACCATCTGAAATTTCTAGAACGGTGCTCTTGAGGTACGTTCTCCTTGACTCCCCATGACCCCTTGCTAAAATGCTCTTGGGATCATCCTCAGAGACAAGATGATATGGATGACTAACTAAACGGCAAATGGCCCATTTCTCCAGTCCAGATACTTGAGTCAAACTTCTGCACAACTAGGTGATTGCTTAGAGTATATTATGAACAGAATGTGCCCCTCCCCCAAGGTATCCTGGCTTCCTAGAACCTGTGGACATATTAGGAATATGATACCTTACATGGAAAGGACTTTACAATGAGTTCATCTAAAGAGGTGTTATCCTGGATTATCCATACGGATTCGTTGTAATTTCCAGGGCTTTTAGAAGACCATGTGTGTGTGTGTGAGAGAGAGAGAGAGAAAGAGAAATTAAAATGTTATATTGCTACACGTAGAAATCTTAAACACAAACGCAAGCTGAGCAGTGCTCTACTGGTTTTAACTATGGAGTGAGTCAGGGCCATGGGTCAAATATGTATGTGTATATATATATATATATATATATATATATATATATATATACACACACACACACACACACACACACACAGACAGCCTCAATAAGTTGGAAAAACCAAAGAAACAGATTTCCCCCGCTGCCTCCAGAGAGACTGAGCTGTGCCAACCATTTCGGCCCTTTGACCTCGGATAATAATTTCTTAAAGCAGCATTAGGAAACCATTACAGACCGTGACACTTGACTTTGGATTATATAGTAGTTGTTTAGAAAAAAAAAAATCAAAGAGATTTCTGAATTGCCTGATATCAGTTTTCAAGGTATTTTAAAATATTTTAAGACACAGCTGGATGTTAAAAAGTTTGACTGCCACATTGTCTCGCTAAGATTTTAGGCAATGATCGTGAGGCCCCCCTGGCTCATTCTGGCTCTGAGAGTAGAAAGTCCTACCCCTGGGCAGTATGAGTGAGAGGTAAACCAGACTGCCTGGATGAACCCACATCAACCCCACTGCCCGCATGATCTGTCCTCAGGCTCCTGCTCTGTGTCCTAGATGCAGATATGCCCTTCAGAGAGGCTCCAGGAAGGAAAAGCTAGCCACGTTATTGATGTTGCTGTCATTGCTTTTAAAAGCCTTTTTTTTTTTTTAAATTAGAGTTTCACATAGCCTAGGCCAGCTTCAGGTTGGTTATGTCACCAAAGATGCCCTTGAACTTCTGGTCCTCCTGCCTCTGTCTCTTCGGCGCTAGGATGACAGATGCGTGATGCTCTGCCCAGCTGCTGTAAAAGACTTACACACATTTCCGTGCATGGTAGAGGTTTCTTTGGGGGAAATGGAAAAAATTGAAAGAATGGGCAAGTTTTTTGTTTTGTTTTGTTTTGTTTTTGCTGTAACAGAGCAATGACAAAGGAAGCTTACAGGACAGGGATCAGCCCAGTGTTCAGAAACTTAGAGTGGCCTGTGCATGGAACTGACAGGAATTTCATTCTACCAGACTATACGACCTCAGGGTCTATGAAGATTCGGGGAGTTTCTTCCTCTTGGAAAAAGGGCAGAGACTCCCACATCAGAGGATTTTAGCACTGCATTGAAACGGCGTGAGTGTAGCGCTGGTGTCATTTCCTCGTGCTGCTCAGAGCTCACAGAGGTGCCAAAGATGAGCATGGTCTTAGCGGGTGCCCTGCACTCTGTGGAACACCGAGTTTAGGGGAATCTACTGATTTTCATAATGAACCTTGAACTAGAGCAGCATGGGGGCTTTTGCTCCACTTCTTTCCTTCGGGTTGCTCACTAACGCACGAGCAAGAGATGGCTCCAGTAGCTAGCTCCTTGCCTCTTTTGGCCCTCCCATCAAGAATGTGCAGGGATGTCCATGTCCCTCGGTGGTCACCTGACTGACCTGAGGTTTCACCATCAATCCCAATGATCAGGTCTTCTAGATGTGCCAGTGAGGTCACGTTGGATCAGCCACCAATCTTCAGCTTAGTAAGCCAAAGGTGAACCCAACCTGGGAACCCAGCCCCCGTTGAGCCAGCAGCTTTGTCTCAGCTGGAAGCAGACAGGGTGGAAATTTCCCTAGAGCAGTGTCTCAGAAGAGAATAAGTGTGTCCTGACCGGTTGCGCCTTCAAACTTGCTCTATTTTCATTTGACTAGCGGACAGGCCCCTTCCTTACACTTGTCCTGGCTTGGATTCCATGTTCCACAATGGAGATGTCACACCCGAGGATCACAGGCTTCCACCGAGCAAGGTGTACTTTAAACAAAAGCCCATCAATAGAGCAACGATAGCCTCGCTTCTCTGACACTTCAATCACTACCCGAATTGAGACCCCTCACCATTTGTGTGTTGGAATCCTAACCCCAATATGGCGTCATTTGGAGATAGGGTCTTTACAGAGGTAATCAAGTTAAGATGAATCCACAGGGTGGGTCTTAATATGATATGTTGGCAGCTTTTGAGAGGAAATTTGGTCATGAACCCCAGATATGGACACAGTCATTTATAAGCCAGGGACAGTGGTCTCCTCACAGCTTGTCAAGGAATCAACTACATTGATTTTGAGTTTCTAGATTCCAGAACCGAGACAAAGAAAATTTTTCTATTGCTTAACCTAGCTGGTTTGTGACGTGTGTGTGTGTGTGTGTGTGAGAGAGAGAGAGAGAGAGAGATTGTGGGGGGGAAGGGGCAGCTTTATCAAGCAGGGAGCACTTGGCGCCTGTGTCCAGAAGGGGGTGCTGATGTCTTGAGCAAGGGGCTTCCTGCAGCTCACCTGCAACTTCTGCTTTTCTCCCAGTCTGCCTGTTTCTATAAGCCCTCCAAGGAAGAGCATCAGAGAGCTCACAAAGGGGAGAGATTTGGTCACCATGAGTTTTCTGTACAGACAGGACACATCAATTTCACTATACGCTTACGTGTGTGCGTGTATATACCTGACAGTATCTTGAACTGGATCAGCCTCACTTCCTCATTGCAAACTGTGCTCAGACTACATCAGTCGAATAATCACGCAAAGAATAAGTACTGTGGGGTCCCCACATAGTCTCAGGAGATTAGATAGTTTTGCAGATGTCCAGTGACTAATATGCACAAGGTCTTTGTTTTCCTCTTCAGGAACCACAAAAAAGAAGAATTTTTTTTTTTTCTTATCAAAAAATTTTAGTTTTTGAGAATTTCATACAAAGTGTTTGGGCTTCGGGCTATGGCTCAGTGGTAGAGCATCCGCAAGGCCCTGGGTTCAGTTCCCAGTACTGCTATGAGAAAGAAAGAGGGAGAGAAAGAGAGAGAATGTTTAAGAGGGGAAGGTCCCACATTAGTAGTTATAATGATGTCATCATCAATGTTCAGTTTTCGAGTAGAAACTGCCTCTTCTAACTTGTGTTACTGAGGATGAGCTATGGAGTTAAAAAGGAACATTTTTTCACGGTACCACTAGATGGCGCACAGAAACAACTTTCCAGCACCCAAACGTCTGAGAAGCGTCTTGATGTCCTGATGTGGGATGGAAATGCGAACTACTGGTGCTGCGGCCCATGCCGCACAGTGGGGCTGCAGGCCAAGCTGGACGGCCGTGCTGAGACGAAGGGGCGGTAACTGTGTTCAGGGAACAGCCTGAGAGAAAACAAAAGCCACCCAAACATGAGAGACAGACCTTGACCTATGTGTGCCGAAAACTTAAAAAAAGATAGTGTAGATTCTCTTCATTTTTAGTGAAATCAACCAATGGAAGATGCGATGTTTTTACCCTGGTTAGTTTTTATTGTCAGTTTGGTGCCTGGAGTGGCCTAGAAAGATGGAATCTCAGCTGGAGAACGGCTTCATTGACGTGGGCCATGTCTCGGAGAGAGTGTCTTGACTGGTGAGTGCTACGGGAAGGCCCCGCCCACTGTGGGCAGGCTAGGCGGTGGGACTGCGCCTGACTAGAAAACAGCGTTCCCAGACGGGTCCAGGGTCCAGCCCTGTGCTCCAGACCTGACTTGCCCCAATGACTGGAAAATGAAATAAACCCTGTCCTTCCAACGTTGATTTTTGAGCATGGTGGTTTAGTCACAGTTAGAGAATCAAACAAGAACAGCTCCAAATGTGGAAATAAAAAGAAACACTTCGAGACCCAGCGAGGGATTTCTTTCTCAGACATTACCGCAGTCAGCGACTTGTGAATTAGTCAGGAGCACATGAATTAGGTGCTAAAGTACCTCGGTGCTCAGTGGGAGCACGCATTCTTGAACAGGTCAAAGATGGCAGCCAGTGAGTTCAACGCTGTCTTAGGAACCGAGAATGATAAATATTTTTTTAATTTATTTAATTTTTTTATTTTATGTGCATTAGCGCGAGGGTGTCGGATCCCTTGGGATTGGCATTACAGACAGTTGTGAGCCGCCATGTGGGTGCTGGGAATTGAACCTGGATCCTTTAGAAGAGCAGACAGTGCTCTTAACCACTGGGCCATCTCTCCAGCCCCGAGAATGATGAATATTAATGTGTCTGTTAAAGACGGACCGCCAGAAGCTTTTCTAAAGGTCACATATTTAGCCAGTACGTAGTCCAGCAGCGGGCAGACCCTGGCCAGCCAGTGAGGTTACAAACAGGAGAAGGTGAGGTAGGGAGCTTTTTCTCACTGTCCTGACATGGTTCAAGTATTCTATGTAGGCCTTTTCTTAGAGGAAAAGTGTTTGGATCCTGCTTAGTAAACACGCTTTTAGGAACACACTTACTAGGAAAACTGATGCTAGTTTTAGGATCATGCTTAGGTTTTGTTTAGGATGTTTAATAAATCCAGCTATTGGTTCAGGAGGTTATTTATTCTAATAATTAGGCCATTGCAGACGTGAATTGACTGTATATGGGTGTATTTTAGCTTTTCAGTCATTATACATTGTTTAGATGCCAAATAGTATGAAGACATAACTATTTGCAGTTATATTTCCCCAAAAGAAAGGCATTAACTTCAAGGGTTTTTTGTTGTTGTTGTTGTTTTAAAGATTGAAGACCTCAAAGTTTTTAAAACCACAGTAAATGAAAGATTATATCATCATTCCCTTCTTTCCTCCCTTTCTCCCCCTCCCCCCCCCCCCGGCCGGGTACTACTGATGTGCCCACACACATCTAGATATGCATAAAAACATTACAGAATTTTGGTGATACCAAATTGCATATGGTTCAGACACTGTGAATAACATGCTCGGTGATTATAAATCATTTATTTTTTTAACACAGTAATATTTTTAATTTATTTATTTATTTATTTATTTATTTTTGCTATTTTTATACCTTGTACAATGCTGGATCTGTTGGCCAAGTCTCTGGATACCAATATCTATGATGGGTTGTTTCCAGATATTGGAACCTGCTCCACCATGAGGCCTCTCCGATGCCTGCTTGCTAAGACACCCACTGCACTGCATCTCCTTTGTTGCCACAAGCCACCAAGCCCAGATTTTCAACCATAGGTATATCCCTGGTATCTTTAGCCAGAGAAGATATTGATAATACTATGCTACCACAGGAGATAATACTTACGTGTTACTTACCGTGTGCCCGGCACTGCTGTAAATCGACGTGTGTGTGTGTGTGTGTGTGTGTGTGTGTGTGTGTGTGTGTGTGTG